TTGTAATTTTTATCATCTAACTCCTCAAATAAAGCGTCAAACAGCGGGCATGCTTCCAATTATCACAAATTATTTACGGAAATTATATGATTTGATGCAGAAAGAAGAACTTTCTGACTCTATTGTCATTACAGTTAGTTATATTGCTATTGGACCCTTTTTTGTGGATTCTGTAAACAGCAGTAATTCTATATTTGGTAATGGTTTGGAAGCAGTAAAATTGGTTGCGCTTGGACTATTGAGATCTGTAAGTTGTGCATCATAATAGTTCTATCAATTATTTCACTCACAACATCATGTTAAATAATCACTCAATAATAGATATTCACAAATCACCAAAAACAACGCACATGGATATTGGAAGAAATTCTTACGTCTCTTATTAAATTACCTACTGTAAAAAGAAACCTGAGACAATACAGGTAGAATTAATGATGATTATAAGGATTTCTTAAAGAATAATTCGATTTAATTAATTGTCTCTCATAAACTGCCGGGTCTTATTTAAAAAAACTTTATTATAAAAACTTTTGGGTAGACATTAAGAAAACATCTATCTATATGTTATGAGAGATAATAATTAGTTTATATTACCATATTTACTAAGATATGGATTTGCTTATATTCTTCCTTATAGATTGCCTGATGGTAAATCAATCCAAATGGTATCTGCGCTTATTTTACAACTTATTCAAAGTTGTACAGTAGGCATAACTCACTTTGGCCTAAAGTCAGTGGATGATCAACAAGGTGAACAGCTTGTTGAAAATTTAACTAATGGAGTTCCAAATGATTTAAAAAAGGTATCCTGTGTTAAATTTTGAATGATACCTAATGTGTATTATAGTTTCACATAAATTAATAATTCATTAACAGTGTAGTAGCGCGTGGAAAATCGGAATAGATTCTGCTAGCAGCAATGCTGGCTATATTTTTAAATTCTTGCTTGCAAGGTACCTAGCTTAACATCTAGTCAATATGCAAAGTAACGTATGAATTCATTCCAAATAATTAATAATTCAAACATCAGGTGTACGAAGTCTATTAAAAATTCAAACGAGTCAGAATATCGCGTTCTTTTAGATAATTTCATGGAAGATGTGATTACTGTATTGAATTACCCTGAGTGGCCGGCGGCTGAAATGATAGTTCGCATATTCAGCAAATTCATGGTATTTATCTTTATTTAGTTGTCGGCTAATAAATTAAATGTTATAATCAAGTTACATATTCTTTTATTCTATTTACAAATTCCAGATTGGCTATATAAATGATAAAAAAGCAGACAATTATACAAAATCAATGGCTATTGATTATTTGGGAATAATAGCTGGACGTATCAAAAAGTTTGCAAACACAGGTCTCATTTCTGGAGAAGGAGTGTCAGAAGATAACGGAGAGGATAATGATGATAATGATAATCAGAATTGGATCGACAAAATTAAAGATATACCGAGAGGAGATGTAATTATCATCAGTTCAATTTGGTTATATTTAAAGTGTCCACACTAAAGTTCTAATATAAATATTTGATCGATAGATAACGATCTTAAACCCCGAGCGAACAATTAAAAATTTGCGTAAATGTCAAAAGGCTGTATTGACATTTTTAGAATTTGGTGCGATGGAAGATCCGGGTGTGCAGGCATGTATTTGAAAATCCAGATATCAATATTTAATATAAATTTTATTGCTTGTCTTTACATTAAACGATTTTCTTTAGTGTGCTCGCCAATTTTACTTAGCTGAGTGGGGGTATTCTTTTGCAAACACATTGCTTTCAATCAATGAAAAGCAGACAGATTTAAGATGGGGAGATAAAGACGATGCATCACTTGCTTCAATAACAAAATTAATGAACAAGATTGTTGCTGAATACTGGCAAATGTCATCTGAAAATCAAATTGTACAAAGTCTTGAGCATAGGTTAATTTTTATTGTGCAGAAATGTATATAAATTGCATAGACATTATAAATATTTACAATTCGATCTATTTATTTTCTCATAATAGAACCCAGCATGTGGAACGAACTGATATTCATCTCGTAACCGAGCTTCTCGCAACTAGGCAAGCTCTTTATCAAAACTTTGATACTATCCTTTCAAGGATATTGGTATCATTAGATACAGGCGTTGTTGCCTTTAGGACAAAAGCGTTGAGAGCCCTAGGACAGGTGGTTGTATGTGACCCTGGCATTCTAAGCCAAGTAAGTACGATTCGTCATTGAATCTCATGGATTTATCCTGGTAGCTTTTAAAATATAATAAAAATTTAGGTGAACGTTCGTCAAACAATTGCCCAGAGATTTTCTGACAATTCACCAGCTGTTCGAGATGCAGCCATTGAGCTTGTTGGACGTTATCTCGCACAAAAACCGGAGATTACGGAGCAATATTACAAAGTCATAAGCGATCGCGTCTTGGTTAGTCAAAAATACGATTTAATCTTATATGATTCGCTCCAATAAATACTTACTTGATATATTTTAGGATACTGGTCTTAATGTACGAAAACGTGTAATAAAATTACTTAGAGATATTTACCTTAAAAGCTCTGATCAGGAGATGAAGATCGATATCGGCTGTAAAATTCTTATTCGCGTTAATGATGACGATGATCATGTCAAGGTAACTATATTACTAGTGATAATATTGATATCAATCGTATTTCACATATTTATTGCTTGCAAATTTTTTTAAGGATCTAGCTCTTAAAACTATTCAAGAATTGTGGTTTGCTCCATTTAAACATCAGAAAAATTTTTATGCTGAGACATATGATTTGGATGATGATGACAATGGGCAAAATGAATTCAACATCATGCCTACTAGTGGTAAAAAGGATGTTTTAGCAAGAAGCTTATTAATTGTAGGGGTTGCAGGACGACTTGGCGAGAGGAATGGGCATATCATGGGTGGATTGTTCAAAAAGGTTTATAATGAATATTTGTATTTCCGATATTACTTTGAACATACCGTAAATCAATTTGATTAATATGAAATGATATATAGATCTTAGACAAAGATGGAAAACAGAAACGCGAAATTATGAGCATCTGCCAATGTATAGTGGACTGTCTTTTTGAGCATTTATTAACATTGCAAGATTCAAATTCAAAGGTATTCAATAATTCTATTCTTTAATAATAGCAAATAATAATGGTAAATACAAATTAACTTTACATAATTATTTACATATATATTAGACAGAAGTTGTCAGTTGTATCAGCACAATATGTTTATTGTGTAATGCTTCACCATTACTCGTCAGAAAGCATGTTGTTACATTGCAGCCATATCTAAAAAGTTCTAGCACGGTAAGAACGAAAACGTTGACATAGATAAAAAAAATTCAATTGATTTTGTTAACTTGAAAATTTTTATAATTCAGTCGGAGGATCAATCGATATTGTATTACGTTCTGATCATATATCGTAATGTTCTCCCGCTTCTCAAACGGCCAAATCCTAATTTCTTAAATGAAGTAGAGCAGACACTTATGGGTCTATTGACTAAAAGCCCTCAAAAGGTGATGTCAATATTTATTCAATTTCTCTTTAGAAAACGATGTTCATTTATTT